GGGTGGGGCCACAACATTAGTAACAAAGAAACAGAATTTCTGGAGGATGAGGCCCAGAAATCAGGATTTTAAAAAGATTCCCAGGTGATTCTAATGTGCAGCCAAGGTTGAGAACCACTGCTTTAGTACCTTGTGTGGTCGAGGTGCTTGTCTGGGCTCTGTTCCTGCATTTGGACTATTTTAGGCTCCTCCCTGGGACTCACTAACTGTTCCCTTCTGCTTTGTCACCATCATTTTTACCTGTTGCTTTGCTCACATTCTCTAACTCTCTTAAATTCCCATTGAGGCTTCCTCCAACACTGAGGATCATTTCAGACACCCGCTTTTGTGATAAAAAAAAACAAACACCCTTCACTGGGGGGTTTGATCCCTGCTACTCAGTGTGCTGCCCATGGACTAAAAATTTCCAGTATAAGCATCACCTGGGAACTCAGAACTATCAGCTCTGCCTCAGGTGAACTGCATTAAAGCCTGCATTTTAACAAGAGCCAGGTGGTTCAAATGCACATTCGCATAGAGAAGCACTTTCTGGAAATCCTCACTGCTGGGGTTGCGGCCAACAGGGAGGTCTCACTGAGAAGTTTCTCTGCCCGGCTCTGAACTGGGTGCTTTGAACACACCATCAACAGTGCCTGATTTAAGCTTCCCAGCATCCCAGTGTGGTACGTCCTATTGTTGTTTACATTTTCGGGAGGGGAAACTGAGGCTCTGGGAGACTGAGGCGTTGCTGAGATTATGCAGATAGTAAGTGGTGGGGCAGCCTGGATTCGGTCTGAGACACGTTGCTTCCAGAGTCTTCGTTCCCTACCTCCGGCTCTGTGGCGTCCCTCCTCCTGGCGTCTCTGTGCTCCGGCTCAGTTCACTGTACTCACTGGCTGCTTTCTCTCCCTCCCGTCTCTGAAGCTCCTCTAAGCAAAGCCACTGTGAACGGAACACGGCTGCTTGGTGTGTTCCAGTGAAGAGCTTTGGGTCTTGGGATGACTTTTCAGTAAGACGGTGTGTGTATGTAGCTGGATCTCTATAATTGGGTTTCTCTCGGCCTGAGAATGAGCTCTCTCTCCTGCTTCCAATTAGAGAGAACTGCTTAGAGCTGCAGATGTCCTCCCAGACCTGAACTCCTCTGGCTCTGTTGAGAGTCAGGAGTATCTCAAACTTGACCTTTGGAAAAATACAGCTCTAACCTGAACAAATGGAATGAGTAATAAGACCTTGCAATGACTTCTGGTCCAGAGTTTAAGTTTGGAATATCTATAGCCTGTGTACTCGGGGCCAAGGGTAAATTCTAGGAAGGTGGTACGTGAAGTCTGGCAGAGATGAAGGTCAGTGGTTTCCAAACTGATTACTGACCTGCTCTGAGGAGCTGTTCCAGAGGAGGACTGGGGGGCTGGAGGTGGCCTGGGCTGAAGTAGGGGTTCCCTGAGGCCCTCCTCACTTTTAACCAATGAGTACAGGCTTCCAGTCTTATTATTTTATCTAATGAGCCCTGAGTACCATTTTATTTAAGGGGGCTCTCCCTGCTTTAAGACATTTTGTATACTAAAAAGCAACTGAACTAGTACTACTCTGTCCTTTGCAGCTGAGGCCGCTGTAGTTCCAAAGGACGAATTGACTTCCCCAAGGTCACACATTGTTTGGGCTAAAAACAATTTCTTGTTTTCCTCCTCTGAAAGTTCAGTCTGCTGTCTGGGTCAGCCCTGAGCACGTCAGTGGCACTGACCTGGCCGTCCTTCCTTTGCATTTGGGACTCTGGTGTGTGTTTGGAAACAAAATGCTGTTCAGGTGTTCAGAGCAGAGCCAAGTCAAGAAGTTATTTATTCTCGCTGTTCTTTCTCTTCCTATGCAACGAGTCTGTAGTGCCCCCTCTCTCCTGATCGGTTTATGCATCAAAGGCAGCCTTGCAGAGAACACAGAATACCCCGGTAACGGCAAAATGGAGCAGCTCTTCTCTGACCCGCAGGTTAAGTTACTGGAAACCCCACTTTAGAAGAATGTGCATTTGAGGAACTTATGACCAAAAAAGCAGGATGGCATTGGGAGACTGCAATCACACTTTTTTCCCCTCTCCACCCCCCGCCCCTCCAAAAAAATATAGAGACCTGAGAGATTGTAAAAAGCACATCTAAAGATAGAACTTGGAACACTAGAGCAGTTTGCTGTCATCGCTGAGGGTCTTTTCAATTATTTACTAGGATTAAGATATTGAACTTGGCCTCAGGTAAATCTCTAGGGTAGGGATATGGTTGTCACTGAGTACTTATAATGTCAATAGCACTTGAAAAACCATGACATGACACGAGAGAGGGGTTTGACCCTTGTCAGAGTTTGGAAAAAAGATCTTGTAAAGTTTCAGTGCAGGACAGATTACCAGGTGTACCTGGTAGCTGGCAGGTTAAAGTAATCTTTATGCCGCGAGGGCTCTTCACAGGGTTTACCTGAAGGTCAGGCCCATTGCATGTACCTTTATAAAATGGAACTGGCAGAGATTAGTCCTCAGAGAGATGATAGAGGAGTTTTTCACTTAGTTATTTGTTCACAGTTCCTTGTCCCTGTTTTGCAAATCCAGTAATAATATTATCTTGGCAGAGAAATGAAACTACACACTTCCTTATTTCATTCATTTTGAAGACTCTGATCTCTCCTGTTTACGGTGGATCTATTGCCATTCTCTCTCATTTGAATTCACTTAGAAGTTAAAGTTCATCCTAAGAGAGATGAACTTGTAGCTTGCAGTGCGTGCTCGCCCCTGACTAGTAACTTTCTCCAAGGTAGTACCATGCATTACTCAGTTTGAGGCTGAATTCTTGAACTTTCTGTGACTGGTTGAGACGAATCCAGATACACCTCTGGAGCTGAAAGCAGTGGCAGCTTCCCCTGAGTCACAGGGCTCTGTGGGGGAGGTAGAGATGCTGGAATAAAACCAGGAACCTCTTAGAGAAAGGAATGCATACTTGGTAGGCAGCCAACAGCGTCAAGTATGGTTATATTCTTTCAATTTCCAAGGTCATCTTTTTAGTTTATTTTATTCCTTAAGTATATCATATACTCTTGGCCCTTTCCAAGGCCTCAAACACAACATTGACCCTTTAAAAATTCACTGCCCAAAATTATTATACACTTTGGCTCCCTCCCTCTCTCCCACCAGAAAAGAGCTCCTTGAACCCAGGGGTCATGCTTGACTCATCTGAATCTTCGCACCCAGCACAGGTTCTAGGCCATCATAGGTACAGAATGAATATGTGCAGAACAAATACAGATAACTTATTCTCTGAATTACCCCAGGATTCAAAAACCTCAGAATTTGTATAAAACAAAACAGAAAATTCAGACCTACAAGGGTGTTGACATAGTTGCCCCTGTGGTTGGGTTGCCTCTTTTCCTCCCCATTGGTGTTTTTCGTTGATTTTATAAAGTCTAGGACTACTATAAATAGCATGTTTTATTTCTTAGCTCATCACTAATAAACCATAATTTAAAGGTGTTCACCATATTTTGAACAGATTGCTTATTCCTGTTTTAACCCCCTTAAGTCTTTTTTTTTTTCCTGCCTACTCCAGGATAAGAGGGGAAATGGCTCTGTGTATATTTACTGCTTTTTTTTTTTTTTTGCACCATCACTGTAGTGGATTAACCTTCTTTGTCCCATTTAAAAGGTAAACTATTTTAATAGGGATTGCATTGAATATATAGATTGCTTTGAGTAGTAGGGACATTTTAATGATGCTAATTCTTTCAATCTATGAACACGACATATTCTTCCATCTGTTGGTACCTTCCTCTATTTTTTTATTAACTGGATCCTTATTGTTGAAAGTATTACAGATAACCCTTTTTCCCCCCAGTTGACCCCCTCCACCCTGCCCCTATTTCTTTTTCAATGTTCCTATCTTCCCTGATATTTCTGTCTTGGATGTTACTCAGTTAATTTGATGAAGAGCTAACTTTTTCTGTGATTGTGTGGACAAATTGGGTTGATAGATGTTCAACAACTATGTACATTGATGGTAACAATGCCATAATGACATAATGAGAGGGGAGGCAACACCATGGCAACTAAGACCTGAGAGTTTTAGAGAGAGGTTTCAAAGTTTGTCCTCTAGTGGCAAGTTCAATGAACTCACAGTCTTCTAACTTTTGTTTTTCAGGCTTATGTACAAAAGTACATTGTGAAGAATTATTTCTACTATTACCTATTCAGATTTTCAGCTGCTTTGGGTCAAGAAGTGTTCTACATCACATTTCTTCCGTTCACTCACTGGAATATTGATCCTTATTTATCCAGAAGACTCGTCATCATATGGGTTGTAAGTATTACTATTATGCATAGATTGCTACTACTTCTGCAACAACTACCTGCTTTGGCATCCAAGTACTTTGCATATATGTTCTTTTTTTTTTTAATCACTTAGAGTTGAATGTTTGCCTGGCTTACTTTGGAAAAATAACAGGAAAAATTAAAATGCTATAAACACAACTTGTTTTGTTTGCAAAAAAAGAAAAGAAAAATACCTATAGATTTTGTGTACTGTGGTGTCCACTTTCCTGTGGGTGACTAAAACTAGATGAGGGGAGAAGTGATGTGTGGAGAAGACAGGACTTTTTGAGAACTCAGAAGGGCCATAAAATGCATCCTCCTAAGAGGCCCATTTTAGTAAAATTGGATCAAAAATGGAACCTGGAAGCTGTTGACTAATAACTCGAAGAGGTATTAAGCAAATACTCTATGAATATTGGAGAGACAAAAGCATATAAGGCAGGGTACCTTCCTGAGGGGCTTCTCCTGTAGTGGGGGCAGCTGGCATAGACACAGAAACTCAGTGGCAATTCCAGGTAGAGAGGTGGAGCCCCTTTCTGATGTTTTACTTGGGACCCTATTGTTTATTTTTTCAGGACCAAGTAAATTCTATTTTTATTATTATTGTTACTGGGAAAGATGATGAATATTTGCAAGGCAGCAAGGCCTGCTGCCAGGTACGGGCTTTGGGATCAGAAAGGCCTGGGTTCAAGGGCAGTTCAACCACTGCACTTGTCTGGGTGCCCTTGTCTGCAGTCTTACCTGTCTCATCAATACAATGGTGTTGGTACTGCACATCTCCCAGAATCCTCGTGAAGACGTACAGAGTGTGCACAGAGCTCGAGGCCTGATACTTGAGAACGTAACTCACAGTGACTAGTCCATGAAGGCAAAGGGGTCAGCAAGATTAACGAATTCTAAGGTCAAAGATTGTTTAGGTGGGAGAGGGAGCTTCAGGGACAAGGATGGCTGGTTTCCTAACTCAGGATTCCAAAGGCTACGGTTCAGGAGTGGGTGGTTGTGTGTGAAGGAGTTGGGGTTCTCGCGCAGCAGCTCCGCTCTGAGAAGTGCTGTGATCTTAAGTCAGTGACTGCCCCACCCCACTCCCGGCTTCATTTTTTTTTTTTTCATTTCTAGAACATGTTAGGGTGACCTTGATCAGGAGCCATAAACTTAAATATCCTCAAAGGCAGGGAAAGAAGTAAAACAGTGACGTCCTGGGTTGGGAGAGGTGCCCAGGGTGGGGGGAACCCGTGAGTCCCCTGGGGCCCCAGGGAGCAGCCGTCCCTCTGTGCCTGCTGTCACTGCCACGAGGGATACGGGCCGGAGTTGCCAGATCTGGTTTTCACGTGCAATCTCCCACGTTTTAAGTGTAGGCCTACATTTTTTAAAAGCATCACATGCCAACAGAACACAGAATACTTGCAGTCCAAACGTATGGGGCCTGGGTTGAAGCCTCCAGCCTAAAGGACCACTAAGGTCCTAGGTTTACCTTTAGGATTATTTGGCCTCGGATGCTCCCTGTTTTCTCCTTTTCTGCCTAAAACTGCAAGCCAGGCTTTCCTTCCCCTGTCTCCTGGCCAGCCCTCTTGTGAAATCCAGCTTCTGTCTAAAAGTATGACCCTCTTAGAATAGGCATCTTGCACAAGGTGAATGGCAGGGCAATTGTCCCCTCCCTGTCTGAGTCCAGCTTCTGTACCTGCAGAGCAGTGGCGGCCACTGGAGGAGTTGGGGGTGGGGAGCATTCCTTCTGTTCTGAAGATCTGAAAATGCTTGAAAGACCAGGTGCTTAAGTTTTTTTCAGTCATTTATTTTCTGAGGTACTGCCTCCGCCCCCCACCCCCAATCCAACTTGTATGGTGGTAGAGTGTTAATTACTTGTAATATCCTGGGAATATCTTGTAATGTGTAAGGTCGGCTCAAGGCCAGTTATCTCCTCCAATGAGGGTGGAAACTTTTCCTGAGGGGCCGGGAGGCAGTGGTCACAGGGCTCTCTGATTGTCATTATTGGTTGTTATTTTCCGCTTTGGACTCAAGAGGCCAGTTATCCTCCAATGAGGGTGGAAACTTTTCCTGAGGGGCCGGGGGAGGCAGTGGTCACAGGGCTCTCTGATTGTCATTATTGGTTGTTATTTTCCTCTTTGGACTCCTCATTTCAAAGTGCACAAAGGATTTCCTGTTTGAGATAGAATTACCAGTCTTTTATTGAGAGTGAGCAAATAAAATCTTTGCCTGAAAAAGGAAAGCACCTAACCTTTGAGTATGCAGTTTGTCCTGAGCTTTGGCGATGTGTGACTTGCTTTTAAAAATGGGTGCATGGCCAGATCCACCAGACACCCAGGTTGAATTACACGCTCTGTGTGCTCATTTGCATCTGGAAGGCAGTGTGTGTGATTCTGGCAGTTCCTGGTGGAGAGAATGGAGGCCATG